AAGAAATTAGTTTCCTTCCAGGTGCAATGTTGCATGCCTGAAATCACAGTTACCTGGGAGGTTTGGGCTGGAAGATCACAAGTTCAAGGCCACCCTCAACAACTGGGCAAGGCCCACAGCAACGTAGTGAGACCCTATCTCAAAACAAAATATATTAAGGATAGTGGTACATATGGTATTGAAAAATGCTGAAAAGAATGATAATTAATAAACTTTCAAGAACTGAGCACTAAGTTTGAATACCCCCACCTCTCTCACACTCAAGAAATACAACCAGAACTGAATAGAATCCAATACCTCTAGAGTACCCACAGCAGCATCTCACACTTGCTCCACTCTTGTGGCTCCTGCTCACATTCTGGGTCTCAATCAACAGACCAACATCAAATGGTACCTTCTTGTCCATTTTTTGCCCCACTTCTAGCTGCCTCTTTTAATTCCCCTGAACTTGGGGAGTCAAGACATCAGAATTCTCTCTGTCCCTTTATCTCTTTTCTTCTATCTCAAATGTTGATTCTTTTGTTGGTTCACTCATTAATTCAAATTTTATTTGTATATTGGGTGCTGAAGGACCCAAGGCCTTGCACATGATAAGCACATGCTCTACCACTCAGATACACCCCAGCAAGAAATATTTCAGGGCATCAAAACTATCTCAGTCAAAGCAGACATGGTTGTATATGCCTGTAATCCCAGTGACTCAGTACACTGAGGCAGGAGGATCAAAAGTTAGAGAGGAGCCTCAGCAACTTAGTGAGTCCTTGCTTCAAAATAAAATATGGAAGGCCTGAGGATGTAGCTTAATGGTAAAGTGTCCCTGGGTGCAATATTCAGTAGCAAAAATAAATAAATAAATAAATAAATAAATAAATAAATAAATAAACTCTAGTCACTGCACTGGGTTTTGAAAACACATTACAAACAGCATGGCCAGCCTACATTCAGGGCAGAGTGCAGCTGCAACAGGAGGCCCTGGGCACAGTGGAGAGTGGTCAGGGTAGTGCAGGAAGAGGGTATCAAGGGACCAATATAGGCAACCTAGCTCACAGCACCCAGGTACATGCAAAGGAGAAGCCCAGACTGTTAAGCATTAAGACATGCAAGAAGGCTATTTCCACTCCTTCTGGTTTCAGAGGCTGTGTCCTGTCCAGAAAGAGTAGTCTCAAGAATGTCTGCTGGCTCTGCCCCTAGTTGAGAGCATCATCATGACAGCAAGGGCAGGGTCTGGACTGAAGTGGGCCAGGAAGTGAAGGGTGGAGCTAGTGAGCACTGTCAACTGTTTCAGGGAATAAGGCACAGAGAGTACAACAAGTAGAGTGGAGTCCTAGGATGTTAAGGGTGGGAGTTACTTGGGTTTTAAGATGAGACACATGTAGCTGACCACAGAAGGAATGGTAGTAATACTAATAGCAGCAGGTAGGACACTTTCTTATACCAGGCATTGTTCTATGTGTCATGTGTGAATTAACCCATATTTCCCTTTTTAGGGATAGGAAAACTGACAAGGGGGGTAAGTAGCACAGCCAAGGTCTCCTTGCAAGTCAGTTATAGAACTGTGATTTGGACAAATGTGCTTTTCCCCTAGATTCCTTGACACCAAGCACCAAGCAAGTGTCTCTAGGAGGAGCTTCAAGTCAGGAAATGGAGTAGGGAATGGACTGGAAGTTGGAGCATGGAATTAGTGCCTGTTTCAGGTGCTGCAGGTAATTGAAAGGAGCCCTGTCTTGTGAATCCCAGAGGGCAGGCCACATTTAGGTCCCTTGAGACTGGGCAATGTGGACATGGAGGGCCTCATTCTGAGCAGAGCAGAGGAGGAAGGTCAATGGCCTAAGGCCTGACCTGGAGCTAGAAGACCCACAGGATGGGGGAAGGGAAAATGCTGCCAGGGAAACTAAATGATGAACTGAAGCTGGAGAGAGGAGGAGGAGGGCAGGCCACAAGGCTGAGGAGTAAGGGCTAAGCAGAGGAGTCACAGTGGGGAGGGGACCAGATATGGCTGTGGTGAAAGGGTGACTAAGGATGGGAAGTGCTGATCCCACAGGCTCCTCTGTCTTATCAGCTGTCCTTGGGTCTGCAGATTTCCCCTTCCCCCAGTGGTACTGCCCACCTGTCTTCCTGAAGGAGCCTTTAGCGGAGTTGTTGTCCTACTAAAGTGTCCTGAGGACATCATGATCACCCTTCTCATTCCTGTTCAACCCCCAAGTGAAAAAGCAATAAAGACCCACAGATTGGAAAGAAAGTAATGAATCTATTCCTTGTAGATGACATATTTTCCATGTAGAGTGGGAAACAACAAGTAATGCTGGGGAAGAAACTCAGTGGTGGAGCACCCCTGATTCAAAACCCATTACTGGAAAAACAACACCACTAAGAACTCCTGCTCTTTGGAAGATGCTATGAAGAAAATTAAATGAGAAGCCACGAATTGCAAGAGAATATTTGCAAAATGTGGATCATAATCTAATATAAAGAACCCCTGAAGGTCAATAATTGAAGAACCATTTACTATTAAGTGGGCAAAAGTTGGGGGCAAAAACTTTACCAAAGACATATGGGTGGCTGATAAAACATGATAATATGCTCATCATCACTACTCACTAGGAAAACACAGACTGAAGCCCTAATGAGATACCACTACTCATTTATTAGACAGGCTACAATTTGAAAATAAAACAAAATACTGACAAATGATAGTATAAAATGTTGATGAGGAAGTTTAGCAACTGGAATTCTCAAGCATTCTTGATAGAAAGAAAAATGATAAGGTTGTTTCCTATATGTTGTTCCACTTATGTTTACTTTGTAACTCACAATACCCATCCCTAAAACATTACCTAACAGAAATGGAAACTTCTGTTCAGATGCCTGTACACCAAAGTTTGTAGCAACTTTCTTTAGAACTTCCCCAAACTATCTGGCACAGTTATCCAAAACTGTACACTCAGGGTCTTGGGAGGTTGAGACAGGAGGACTAAAGGTAGCATCTGTAACTTAGCGAGGCCCTAAGCAACTTAGAGATCCTGCCTCAAACATGTTTTTAAAAAATTCAATAAGAAAAAATAGACGGTACTGGGAATGCTGCTCGATGATTAAGCATCCTTGGTTTCAATTCCTGGTAGAAAAACAACAACATCAAAAAAAAAAAAAAACACAAAGAAAAACTACTGCCCCAAACTAGATACAATGTAAAACATCCTTCAAATTGTGAATGTATAACACTAAGCAGGGCATCCATGCAGTACTACACAGAAATAAAAGGAAACAGACATCCATACAGTACTACACAGAAATAAATGGAAACAGACTACTGATATGAGCAACAATATAGATGACTCTCAAATGTGTTGTGCTAAATGAATGAAGCCAGACTAAAAAGCACACAACTGCAC